GTTTCCCTCCAAAGCCTTGAGCCGATGAGTAGAAGAGTGTCTATTTACAAAATTTCAGATTTTACTAATGTACAGCACACACGGACGTTTGACGGTATACAAAAACTACGCGCATGCGCTAGACGGTCTATCTAGTAACATGCGACATGCGCAGCGTGTGTGCGCGGATATACGAATATACATAAGCAATGGCGCACCGACACATGCGCAGCAGGTGTGCGCGGCTGTAGGGAACTCCTACACTACCCCCTCCCTAGACGGGTCGCGAACGTGACTCGTCGAGATCGCTGTGGGGATCGAACGTCGCGATCGGTGCGAGAGCGCAAGATAGATCGCGGCGGAGCTGGTTCCGGTGTTGCTGCTCTTGGATATGGGTGTTCTGCAGGCGGCGTGTCTTGTGGCAGCATCAGCTCCAGGCCGTCCGACCGGGCAGCTGATGGTGGCAAAGTCGCAGAGGCAGAAGACTGCTGCGTAGGTAGGTGTGGCGTCTCTTCCGGAGACGCAGGTTCGCAGTGGTCGATGTTGCTGGTTGGTGCGCTGGCGGCCACCGGCTGCTTGTTGGGTGGAGCTGGCGTCGGCGTCGGTCGCTTCGGTAGGTTGCCGCGAGGAGATGCGCTGAGTGAGGCGTCAGCGTCAATCCGGCGTTGTTTGACGGTCTTCGTATTCCGCACGAAGAGAAGTGCTGAGGCCGGGATTTTCGCTTGGCTGCACGGAGATTCGCAGCGGCGGGCCTTGGCGCCGAAGCGCTGGTGGTACCAGCAGACAGAGCTGTCTTGGTACGTTGGCGTCGGAGGGCATGATGGGCGAGGCGTCTGACGGCTGCGATGTCGACCTTTGTTGCGGTGGGAGAAACTGCACGGCGCTTTGCAGCGACGCGCTCTGGCCCCGAAGCGCTGGTGGTACCAGCAGATCTCGTAGGTTGACGGATGCGCTGGCTTTAGAGGGCGGTTTTCATGGCGTCGTTGATGCTGGCTTCGGCCAAGTTGCGATGCTGCGCCTTTGAGTCGACGCTGGGTGGCCTCCATTTGCTGTACTCGGACGATGAGGGTCGCGATGGTGGCTAGCAGGGCTGTGAGCCGACCTGCTGCCTCGGGTTCGGGTGCCGGCGAGCTGAAGCTGGTCGCGGGAGGAGCGGTGTGCTGCCGGGTGGCTTCGCTCGACTCCATGGTGTGGTCCACGAGTAGTCCGGATCACGTCGGGGTCACCAGTGTAAACTTTGGGAGAGACGGTCGTCCCGGTTTACAGTCATCCGATCGTGGTGATCGGGAAACGTGTTCCTTTCCGAGCACTCGTCAGCCACCAGGGCTCTTCATGTCGCCCTCGCTTCCTCGTCTTCCGTTTCCCTCCAAAGCCTTGAGCCGATGAGTAGAAGAGTGTCTATTTACAAAATTTCAGATTTTACTAATGTACAGCACACACGGACGTTTGACGGTATACAAAAACTACGCGCATGCGCTAGACGGTCTATCTAGTAACATGCGACATGCGCAGCGTGTGTGCGCGGATATACGAATATACATAAGCAATGGCGCACCGACACATGCGCAGCAGGTGTGCGCGGCTGTAGGGAACTCCTACAATGTCAGGGCGGTGTTAGAGGCTGATCGACACGGCACGACCTAACAGGGACTCAGCCGGTGACTGCGTGTGTGGTTCGTGTGTAAGGCAGGCGCCCCGCCGTCTGCACGGTGGCTGACCGGTGTGTGGGGTTTGACGCAGCAACCGGAGTTCATCTCTTCTCAGGCACATCACGATGCTGCTGGACGTGTTGCAGAAATGCAAACAGGTTGCATGGATGAAATAGATTATTGCGTAATTAAATCAACATAAATGAAAGAAGAAACAAATAAAAGAGAAATAGAGAGGGGAAGAAAGGGCGCGGTTCGGTTCTGAACATGGGATCAGATGCGGCAGCAGACCAGGATTATGGTTTATAGTTGGTCGTGCAAGGGTGATAAACCACCAGTCCGGTGTCCAATGTCCAATGCCTGATGGTGGCCACAGTCGTAGATTTGCATCAGAGTGGTGGGGTGGACACTGCGTAGTGGACTGCCACTCTCCAAAGCTAACGGCTGACACACAGACCTCTATATTTAGAGAAGTCTGTGGCTCACATAATGCTGGGTATGAGTGCGTCCTAGCTTTGAAGTGATGACCATGAAGGAAGTTTGTTATATTTCTTAATGCTTGTTATGCTTAATTATAAGCATATAATCTTTATCGATCTAGGTACAAGTGACATTAATTGATTTTTTAATGTTGAAAATATCGGATACATTTTCAAGCTCGAGCAATTTTTCTCTGCAACGTTTATTTCTTTTATCTCAATATTAAATTCAACTTCAACACTTATTTTCAATTTTCATCGCTGAACAAGCTTTCATGCCCAGAACAAAAAAAAAAAAGAGAAGAAATACCTCGCCTCCTGCATCTTTCTTCAGTATGTAGTCCCGGACAACCTCATACCCCTAGGCCCTACTATGCCCTTATTGGACTTAACTTTTTCATCCACCCGTTTGTATCAGGCAAGGTTTCTGCCATAAGCCGATGGACTAGAATTGAACCAACCATTTTTCAAGCGTCAGCTTAAACTAGATCGACGCAATACAAATGGCTGCGCCTATTCCGAGCCATTTGCGTCCGAGCCGCGCGCGCCCTTCGATTGATTGAGTTGTGACGTGTGTGCCACCTGGACGGGAACAGTTCGGTCCGGAGCGCGGTACCGTTTGGCAGATGGCTCTCAGTGGCGGGCAGCTGGCAGCGCTGGGCACCGCTCCGTCAACCTGACAGAGACTGAGGCTCCGGCCACTCCCTGGTGTCCTCCCGAGGGTCTCCGGCGCGCTCGGCAGGCCGCTCGCTCCTGCTGTCAGGCCTGTTTCCGCGGGCAGGCGCCCGTTCTGGAACGGAACATTACGCCAATCAGCGGCTATGGCACGTGTTTATTTGTGTATCGTCACGGCTCACGGTCATTTCAAAATACTTGGAGGCGTCGATGAGATTATTATTGGCCTCAGGTCAACAGCAGGTGAAATATGGAATCGACGAGACACATGTATCAGAAGTGTGTCATTTTGGCTGATCCGAGCGTCTCGTTATAGTGTCAGCAACAAAAACAGCCTGTGGACGAAGACATAGGAGATAGGAGTGATGTCTTCTTGGACAATATTAATTTGAGTGTCATCAGCCGAGTCCTACATCTCATCCCTGTTATCCGCGTGAGCAAGAGCTTAGAGACACGTCATTTTACCCACAATCATTATTAATGGCACCCGAATGCTTCTGAAAAGTCAATTCCGTAACGACAGTGGAAACATATTTTCAGCAGTTTAGTGTCTTTCTTTATCAGTTTCAATATTTTCGTTTTTTATTTTCAATATTTTATCATCTGCCTAATATTTGAATTGTTATATTTTTTTTCAAAAATGAATCAAAGTTCTTAAAACTGCATGAGTAGCATCAGACATGCAGAGGCAATAGACAACTGCATGATGATAAGAGACCCGCAGTCTCTTGACGGTGCTGCGCCGCAAGTAATCGTCTATTTAGGTAAAACCGTCTTATGGCAGTATCCGTCTCTTTGTAGTTAGAATGCAGTTACGTGGCGGCATAGCATGCTATTTCACCGAACGACGCTCTAAATCCGCAGAGGTTGACAGCTAGATTCTTAGAGATGCTCCTACATTTGGTATCATTTCCGTTCGTCCCAGGTCGTTGAGTTCCCATGTAACCATCACGCAACCGCAAGATCCCGACGCTGAGCGTACACGGTTGAGCGGCCTCCTTGAATGCGAGATTTGTTTATGTGCGCGGATGTGGCTTTATTCCTTATTCACTTTGCGGTTTCATTGATCCGGGTTAGAGAGCCCTTCATGCTGAGATTAGTTTGTGATAAATTGTAATCCAATACCGATGCAGACATGCCGATATCACGTCGAAAACGCCGACGGTGTTCGTATCTTCATGTCACTTTCCCCATGGGACATGCTTTCAGATAGTATGCGCTCGTGCCTCGTTTAGAAAGCAGATAGCTGCGATGCATGGCAGACTCCTGCTCCGATACAGCCCCCATGCTCCATCTGCGGACATCCAGTGCAAAGAGCCCAGTTCAGAAGACTGAGGCTCCTCGTATGGTAGCCATCCCTCCGTATGAGGATAAGCAGCGGCCCCATGGCGACTCAACGGTTCGGCGTGCCATGACTTCACCGTGAGGGCGGGGACACCGCCAGCTCGCGTGCAGCCTTGCTAACGCCCCTTCCACGACATCGCATGCCGAGCGACTCGGATTGCGCACTTGTAGATCCAGATTTGGGCGCCACCCGAAACGTTCTTTAGTAGTGCTAGAGCTTGACAAGGATTTATTTCTCAGCCTATACAACAGATCGAGAAAGCTATGTGCACAATTTTCGTTGCAGCCACTTGATAATTATTCAACGTGCAACTTACATACGGCGACTGACCGTTGCCGTTCACTCCCACGTGTTACGATAAACAATCTGCAGCTGGCTGGGATCGAACCCACCGTCTGCCGTCCTGCAGCTCTGCGCGCTCCACATTGCCGGAGAGCCTTACTCGCCACCGTGCACGCGTCGGTCCCAAGTGTCCGGCGGGCGGTGCGGCGCCGTGCGTATTCACGTGAGGTGAGCGAGAGGCGTTGGCGGCGGGCCGAGCCGCGGAGGAGGCGGCGGCGGCGGCCACCGGCCGACAGTCGCCGCGGCCGGTCAGTGGTTCGTCGGAGGTCGGGGCAGGGAGGCGCGCGCCGCGGCCCGTGCCGCTCGAACGAACAGGTGCTGCGGAGGGCTGACCGGAGAGTGCGGGCTGGCCGGTGTGCGTGTGTGCTGTGGATCAGACACCGAGCGCGTGGTGTAAAGGCGAGGAGTGAGCCGGGTGACCTTCCCCTAGTGCAGTGGGTCAGTGGGACCTCCCGGCGGGGCCGCCGCCGACTCAGGTGGCCAGTCCCGGTGTAATTCGGTGCAGCAGCGGGCGCCGGCGAGGGCGGGCCGTCCGGCGCCGGGCGGGAAACCGTTCTGCCGGTGCGGCAGTGACCGGCAGCCGGGCCGGGGGCCGCCGCCGCCGGCCTGGAGGCCTCCTGTTCGCCCCTGCTGGGCCGCCGGCCGGAGCCGGCTGTTGTGATTGGCCGCTCAGCCGGCGCCGGCCCCACGAGCGGCGTCCATGAATCACGGACGGTGGCCGGCCGGCACGGCCAGAAGCGCTCGCGCAGCCCGTCAGCGGGCCGGTGCCGCTGCCGGCTGGCCGCCGGGCCCATGCTGCGGCGCGCTGCCATCGGACTCCTGCTAGTCACCGCCGCCGCGCTCGTGGTCGCGCCACTATCGTTCTACGTCGGAGCTCGCCACGCATACCAGGTACGGTCAACTACACACACTGGCACGCCACTCCGGCCGCAGCACACTCGCCGACGGCTGAAAATCCCGTGTGCTTACTCACGTGTCAGGGAGTAGCCACCTGTTGCAGACCCGCCCCCGTCTCGCCCTCCTACCGGATCCACCGCCGCGCACGTCGCTGTTGGTTCAGCGAGCCTGTTCGTTAGTCGCGATTGATGGGTCTCGCCAGCAGCCCTGGCGGCTGACGCGCCTTTGACGGTACGCAGACGGCCCGTCGGCCCCGTCAGCCTCCGTCGAGAGTCACTCAGCGGTCGCGTCGGCTCCGCGGAGTTCACCGGGAAACGACGGCACGGCTGTGATACCTTCTGATGTTAGCCAGCGGCCAAGTCTGAGACATGTCCCCGCGAAGTGGCTGTTAGGTAGCGGGGCTGGGGAGCTGTGAGACGGTTCTGCGCGCCGCGGAACTGCGGGGCGGGGCAGGGCGGGTGGCGAGTGCACCGGGTCGACATTGACGACCGATGCAGCAGCGATGGTGCGGCGCGGAACACGCGGTAGGGTCAGCGACCTGCGCTGTAGCTTCGTCGAGTTAGCAGTCAAACAGTCGCCCGTCGGTCAGGGCCACCGTCACAGAATTTAATGGCGAGTTTAGCTACTCAGAGATGGAGCACGGACGATGATGACTGCATTATGTGGTGAGACGACGCTTTTCGACTCGTTATTCTCAGTCCCACTGTAATTTACTTGCCTTTTATGTCCCCATTGGAGGCTGTCACAAGTCGCCTGCAGAATAAGAATGTTGTCATTGCTTGTGTCAATGCAAGGCCACGACTAAGATATCGTTAATGGACAATGGTGGCCTAATTGTGCCATTTTGCCTTGCATCCATTCTTGCATTTGACAGCAGCCTTGTCCAACAAGTCATAAAACTGAATTCGTCTGATTCTCAAACAGCCCAAATTGAAATTCTAATGGACGACCATCACGTAACTAATTGGAATGACGCTCTGACATGTTCAGCTTATCTGTATTAGCATTCTCAAAGTACGCGCATGATAGCGTTTCGCTAAATATCCAATAAAAAGATAACCTCAAAATGATAACGATAACCTCAAAAAAGGCACGAAAGATTTACGATGAGATTCGACATTAACGCATTTGACAATTCAGCAAAATTTATCAGTTTTATCGTGAAACTGTGAGCGGCTTGGCCACAAGGAAAGTGAGCCGCCGTCACTTCGTTCCGATCTTATACTGATTGATGGGGTAATGCGTGACACAGGCATCGGAGACGCCCGGGCGTCCCGTAATAAAATATCGGCTCCGTGCCGTCTGGAGCTATGATTTCATTACATTGGCAGGTAACGTTTCACAAGGAACGGGAACCGTTGTGTGGTAAATAAAGGTATTTGTCACCTCTGTCTGAAGCCAACGTTAATACCAACAAATGTTGATTTCGTTGTTTAGCTTGGAAGACCTTCGTCAGAAATTTTTACAGAAGAGACGTCTGTTGTTTGTTTCACAGGCTTCCATAAAATTTATCATCTCGTATATTTTACTCGCAACGGTTCTGTGAAATCAGGTAATTGATTTATGCTTTGGAAGTTTAACGTAACTAAATTTTATCAATCAGTTTCTAAACACACAAATATGAAATATATAAAAACATGGCACTCTACATCTAACCCTTAGATATGCTTCACCGCTTATGCAAATTGTCATTTTGTTCGGCACAATTAATCCTTTTCATATAAAGTTGCCCTCGGGTCAAGACCTAACTAATGGCTCTGCATTCTGCACCACCCGCCACTCTCCATCGACTGCATAACTGCACAGTCTGAGTGCTAGCTCGGCATGTGCATATTGCAAACACCATAGAGGTGGTATTTCCGGCCGCCCAGGTTCAATGCCGGTCTCGGCCGTTTGGCCATGGCCCGATAGTGTGGGTCAGACATAATTCAGGCTGTTTAAATGTGGGCGGTTACCTAGCAGCGTGACTGATGTGTTCGCTGGTTCTTGACTTGAGCATAGCAGCGGAGGCTTGTGTATCAAACAGAAGTGTATATTCTTGCTTTAAAAAATCCTTGTAAGCATAAACCAATGCACACATACGTAAACAGTTCACTGAGTACGCACAGCGCATGCATAACGCAGGAATTGCTTATGCGATGATGTGGGATGCGTATTACCCGTATTGCTCACATGAGCCCCCCAACTTTCTATCAAGATCAGTTTGACTGCTACTTTGGCGTTACCGTATCAATGGCCAGTATGTAGATACCTACCGTTAAGAGCCATGCATGAGCCCCACGGGGTCTCCGGAGAGTTACAATAGCGTGGTTGATAGGTAATCAATCATTCACAGTAGCCGGCCAGAATGACCCATGATCAGACGAACCGGCAGTTAAAGCTCAAGGAGCACTTCCCAGAGCTTTCAAAGAGCTGTGTGAGTCACTGAGCAGTGAGCAGGTCAGTGCAGTGGTCGGATCATTGGCCCCTGTGGCCTGTTCTGCTCCTGTAGGTAACTTCAGGAGCCCTTTTAACTTTCTCTATGGTTAAAGACTCGGATCATTAACTCAGAAGCCCTTGTATAGTCGACTACAGAATGTTCCACTTTTCACAGGCAATTACTTGCCTGGAGTAGAAGGCTGTGCCGCATCACACGGGCTGAGTTCACAATTTATAGCTTCCCCAATGTTCACAATCGACACGCTTAATTGCGTGATAAACGGCACAACTTAGCGCTCCGGTCAACTGATAGCTTCTGAGGAGTGGAACATCATTCTGTAGTCGACTATACTTCACTCGGGCTAGCTCACGAGCAGCTCATGTTCTGCTTTCCGCCTAGCTTAAAAGCACGCCCATGCCTGCAGTTCTCAGCCTCGTCTGTAGCCCTGTCCGGGACCCTGTCTGTACCCCTGTCTATAGTCCTGAGTGTGGTCCCGTCTGTACCCCTGTCTGTACCCCTGTCTGTACCCCTGTCTGTACACCCCTGTCTGTAGCCCCGTCTGTAGCCCTGTCTATAACGCTGTCTGTATCCCTGTCTGTTGCCGTCTGTAACCCTGTCTGTTGCCGTCTGTAACCCTGTCTGTGTATCCCTGTCTGTGTATCCCTGTCTGTGTATCGCCTGTTTGTATCCCGTCTGTATCCCGTCTGTAGCGTAGCCCCATCTGTCTGTCGTTCTATCTGTAGCCCTGCCTGTAGTTCTGTTTGTAGCTCTGTCTCTACCCCTGTCTGCAGCTCTGTCTGTACCCATGTAGCCCTGTCTGTAGCCCGTGTGTGGTCCTGTCTGCAGCCCCGTCTGTTGTCCCGTCTGTAGTTTTGTCTGTGGCCCTGTCTGTGGCCCTGTCTGTAACCCTGTCTGTAGTTCTGTCTGTAACTCTGTCTGTAACCCCGTTTGTAGTCCTGTTTGTAGTCCTGTCTATAACCCTGTCTGTATCCCTGTCTGTTGCCGTCTGTAACCCTGTCTGTGTATCCTCGTCTGTATCCCGTCTGTATCCCTGTCTGTATCCCTGTCTGTATCCCTGTCTGTATCCCTGTCTGTAGCCCTGTCTGTTACCGTCTGTAAGCCTGTCTGTGTATCCCTGTATGTGTATCCCTGTCTGTGTATCCCTGTCTGTATCCCCGTCTGTACCCCTGTCTGTAGCCTTGTCTGTAGCCCTGTCTGCAGCTCTGTCTGTAGCTCTGTATGTAACCCCGTTTGTAGTCCTGTTTGTATCCCTGTCCGCAGCCCTGTCTGTATCCCTGTCTGTTGCCGTCTGTAGTCCTGTCTATAACCCTGTCTGTACCCCTGTCTATAACCCTGTCTGAGACCGTGGCTCCGCGGCGGGCTGGCGTCACCAGACGGGGGAGAATGCTCGTGCCCAGCGGCCGCAGCCAGCGCCATAGCAGCCGGTCCTATGTCTGGTCACGGCCCGCACCACTGCACGTGTGACGTCATGTCTCCGACCCGGTGCCGTCATTCGGTGACGTCACGTGTCGGTAAACACCGGAGCTAATTAGGAACCCGGCTGCACGTGGGTTACACCGTGCTCGACACACGTCGGCTCGTTAACTAGGATCCGGAGCAATGTGGTGTAATTGGAAGCTGCATACATTCAGAAGCACTTTATACAGGTGGTAGTACCTAAACAAACAGCTGTAATAGGTGCACCTGTAATGCACGTGCCATCATGATGCAATGAGAGAGGAATATTTTTTGTGAACATTAAAGGAGAACCTATGCGTAATAACAATCCTTACTTGGATCAGCTTAGTCTAGTGGTGAGCCATACATATACCTATATGGAATACTGATCTTGGACGTGTAATTGGTCCTTGCATCTTAAAGGTATTCATGCAAGTGATTTAAATAATTTAAATTCAAACTGATCCATTTGTTGCGTGATGTGAAACATGATTGTCATCTGCATTTTAAACGTTTTATAGGCTTTCCACCTAAGGATATCTAGCTATGTTAACATTAAGGTCGCCCATCCTAGGTACATTGCATCGCGCAGTAGATAATGCATGCGTGCAGGACCGCAAATGGCAGGTGAGTCAAGCGACTGCAGACATAACAGAATATGTAAACTTAAAATGGTTATAGGATGACATGTTTGCCACTAATGCTAGGCTAGCAATCATCCCTTTAACAGCTTTTTATCCAATGGAAGAGCTCTTATGTACTTACAAATACAGCATGCGTAACGTTCAAATAAGTACCAATAATTCGTGATGTTCCGGGCCGTATTCTCCGTAAGGTAATGTTTTCTCCAGAGTCGGGCGCTTTAATGACACACCGTTCGAAAGAAGACGATCGACCATTTGTGTTTATCGTGCTCACTGTGCGTGATACGCGGCCCATTTACGGATATCCCATATCACGGTCGAGTGGCCAGGCGCCCACCTGTCCAGTCGAGCTATCTTCACTGGGGTGATACCATCTCTGGATCTGATGGGGCACCCGTGGTCATCCGTCGCCACCGCCGCTGCCACCGGCGCGGTACCGCCACCACGCACCGCCGCCGCCGCCGCTACCGCCG